CTCTCCTTCTGTGACAACCCCTCCATCCCAATCACCATTCTAGCAACCCTTCTTTGAATCCTTTCCAATGATTCAATGTCCTTTCTTTGGTAAGGAGCCTAAGACTGATGCAATACTTCAAATGTGACTTAACCAATGACCTATACAATGAAATTAACATCTTTAGACTTGTATACAGTATTTCTGTAGATAGAACCTACAATCCTATTTGTCCTACCACTAGCAACAGCATACTCCTTGGATGGCTTAAGAGACTGATCAACCATTACACCAAGATCCATTCCTTTCATGACACTGTTAAGGTTATTCCTATCCAAATTATACTGATAATTCAAATTATGATAACCCACAATTTACAAAAAATAGTTGCAAGTGGCTGACATATCCAATTCTTAACCTCCTTCAAAACTCTTGGGGAAATATTATCTGTTCCAGGAGCCTCATCATTCTTTAAACTTCCCAATTTTTCTTAACCAGCTCAGAATTAATGCAGTCATCTAGTTTCCACCTACCAACTGTTCAAGATATGGAATAATGCTTAAATCTTCATTAGTAAAAACCAAAGAAAAAGCAAAATTTAATAACCCAACCATCTCATAATCATCAGGTACAAGCCTTCCTTTATTATTTCTCAAGGGTCCTACCTCTATCCTAACATTTTGTTTACCCTTAATGTATCTAAAGAAATCCTTACTATTAATTTTGATATTTTCAGCCAACCTTTTCTCATACATCATTTCTGATGTCTTAGCTTCCTATTTTACCAACTTTCTTGATTTTCTATAATCTTCTAAGTCTCCTGTCATACCAGTCAATATAAATGTCATAAATTTATGATGCCTTTTTTAAATTTTATCTCATACTTTTTGTGAGCCAACCTGTTTTTTTACTTGCAGCTACCATTTTCTTTCTATAAGGAATATGTTTACCTTGAATATTGAGAAACCTAACTTCAAATATTTTCCACATCTTATCAATGTATCCAAATAATTCAGCTGCCCAATTCACAACAGATAATTCTTGTTGCATCCCATCAAAATTTGCTTTTTTTGATATTTGTAACCAAAATATCATTATTTCTTATCTTCATATGCAGCAAAACATTGATCCTAATAGAGTAATGATAACTTGAACCCAGATGTTGCCCAAATTCCACCCTGCTTTCATTTTTATGTTTGAAGTTAACAATATATCTAAACTAATGTTGTTTCTAGTAGGTTCCTTGAATAATTGGTGAAGAAAGCCATCTTGAACAGTTTCCAAAAACCTTTCTCCCTCATGGTTTGATTAGCATTTCCAAGTCTATATGCTTGAAATTAAAATCACCCACAATTATGACTTTTATTAACAGCTAAAATCTTAATCTCATTGTAAAGTTTCTCTCTAATTTCATCAGTATCATCTAGTGGTATGTAACCAATTCCCAGTAAAAGTCTTTTTCCTTTATATCTGCTAACAGAAATCCAAATGATTCAATCTCCATGCTATTATATTTGATATCCTCAACTTAACAGGATGTAACTCTCATTTTACATATAAAGCCACTTTTGCCCTCTGTTTAGTGCACTATCCCTATTAAATAGCCCGTAACTCTGTATTTCAAAAACATTTCTGTCATCAAAAGCATCTAAATTTAAACGTTTCAATTATTCCCATTATATCAAAATCCTCCATTGCTACCAGTGCTCTGAAATCTTCTATTTTATTTCTTATACTTCTAGCATTACAATAGTAAAAATTAAGCTTACCCTTACAACTATTTTTATAATCATTTCTTATGCCAAACTTTTCTCTACCTCTTATTCCTTTGCATTTAAGTTTACCTGGCCCTCACCACTATTTAGTCCTAGTTTATAACTTCCCTTTCAGCTGAGTTAATAGCCCTAGCAAACAAGCCAGCCCCTATTTTATTTAAATGTAAACCATCCATTCCAAAAACTCCTTTCTTCCATTGAACTAATCCCATAGTCCAACCAGCCAATGTGTTCATCCTTGCATATTAATATAAGCCTAGCATTTAGCCTAGTGGCCTACTTATAACTTCATTCCTCAAATTAATTCTGGGCAATAACCCCTGACAAAATTTAGTTATGGCCTTTTTCTTTAAATGCCTTTATCAACCCCTTGTACTTATTAATTAGCTCCTCTGGCCTACCTTTCCCTTTACCATTAGCCCCTACATGCACTACAAAAACTGCATCTCTGCTAGGCCCCTTTCTTATATCTCCTGTTCTGTCAGTTATATCCTCCACCTGACCCCTGGGGTAGCATAATCTAATTCTTTTCTCCCAATTTACCCCACAGACTATCCTATCCACATGCCTTGTCAAGGAATCACCTATAGCTATAACCTCCTTATCATCCACATCCTTCTCTGACCCTTTTGTTTTCCTTCCCTCCAGTAGTTCTTCATATACACAAGCCAAGGGCTGAAATCTGTTGCTCAATAGAATAGACTCATTATAACTAAAGCCACTACTTTCAGCCCTATTGGTATTCTTTCTAACTTCCTGAAAGTCATTGTTAACTGATGCATCCCCTTATATGTAAAACTTAAGCTTCTCTTGAAATCCTGCTGCCATTTCCCACAGTGTACACTTCTCTTTATCTACTGCCTCTGCTTTAATTAGGATAGCCTCCAACTTCTCCATCCTACACACACTACATACAAATTGCACATCTTCACTACTAGTTTCCTTAAAAGTACATACCAGTCTAGAGTTGCCAAATACAAACCACTAATTGTACTCGTCACACCTAACAAACTAAATACTTAAGTCCAACACTAGTCTTAACCATTGTACTTGTAGCCTGGAAATAAATACTCAATACTAAGTGTAAATACCAGAAGCCTATTTCCAACATTGTTAACCCTAAACAGAAATATCTATTATCACCTTAAGAAATTCTAACTGAAAATTCTTTATAATTTATTAGACAAATCTGTACAACTGTAACTACTGCCTGTGATCTGTAGTATTGTACAGTGTACATAAGTCCATCCTGGAAAAGTTAGCTGTCTGTGTGGATAACTTAACAGCATACTATATTTTTTATTGTAAATGGCTTATGATGTAACCACAGCTTGAAATATGTGTATAGTTTTAGGTAAGTCTTATGTAACCACATAATATCACAAAATGTACCATACTCTAACATTTTGTCAGTGTTATGAAACAACAACTGATATATTTTCAAAAAATCAATATAACATAATGACAGCCAATAAATTTGTTTATGGATTGTGTATTCATCTATCACCTAATGAAGCATGGTCCATTTTGGAGTACAAAAATATAAAATATCACAAGCATGGTGTTGCTTATTGGTTAGTATGAACAGCTATAGATGAAAAAGTCCAAGCCATATGATGCAGCTTAACACACTATGATTTGATCTATTGGGGTTTAATAATTGTGACAGTTTGTCCTACTGTTCAGTTGAGAGTAACTGCATAGCCAGTTGGCGATGCTGACACGTTGCCCCTTTTTATGGTCAGTAATTCTAAATTAGCGACGGCTATGCCTGAATCTTAGCTTGCTTAGCCTTTTGCATAATGTGCCATTAAGGTTGAAAACATCAAATAAAATATCACAGTAAAATTAAATATTTGAAGAAAATTTGAAATAACCAAGCATATGTCCGTAATAGGTTTCATTTTCTTCACAGTATACACACACACAAACACAGTCTGCCAAATAACCGATTAATGAATGTCTATGACATTATCTACACTGTCTTGTGGTGAAATTCTTAGTAACAACTTTTAAAAATGTTCTATAGTTATCTAATGATAATAAGCAGTTCAAAACTAGTCAAGTAATTTAATGGTGTGAAAATGTAATCTTACATTCTAGTTTGAGAAACCAGTCAGATTTCATAGCTTAAATACCAAATGATAAACAGTCAGAAAAATTCTTACTTTGGTAACATTGGAGAATATTGTGGGTACTTCTATAGTATATTGAAAGTACTGGTTGATAATATGTTTAAGACTTTTATCTCATTGTGATAGATTTATATCTACCTTACAAAAAAGTTTGAGAGTGATGCCACATTTTCAGGCAGTCACCCATGTATGAATATATCCATTCTTCATTCCATCATCCCTCAAAGGGATGATCTACATATTCTACATTATATTTTGGTACTTTTATAGATGCAAACATTACAGAATATTGTTTTCTTTTAGAAGGATGCTTGATTCTATTTAATGTAATCAACATCATCTTATTTTCATTGGCTGGGTAATCAGCCTTGAATACCTTACATATTACTATACTGTCAGTATTAAACACGTAGTCAAACTAAGTATGTTTGAAAACTCTAGTGTAGAGAGCAAAGCACAGTTACATCTACTGTGAGCTAGTTGGCTAAATGCCATACTGTCCCCCAATGTTGGATGAAAGGGGCTTTTCTTTAGAAAACTCTTCTGCTTTTTATATATACACAAAAAGAACTTTACCTATATAAACCCAGAATTGTGAGTTCACTTGCTTATGGAAAACTTACAAGCCATGATAAAAAAAGAAAAAAATGTTTTCTCAAAGAACAATATAAAAACCTGTAAAAATTATCATTTAGGTGTTTGTTCAAAACCACTATCAGTATTGTTAGTAAGATTTATTTTGTCACATAATCCAAGTGTAGTGTCACTGTATCTTTAGAACATAAATGTGGTATATTGTGTGATAAGACCCACTGCTTAGGATGTACATGTTTGAAACATTTAAAATAAATTATACAGATAATATTACATGAGGAATGGTGCAACATGTATTTATCATGTTTTAAGGAATTCTAATTTAGTTTAGCAGATAAAAGTAAAGTTTGCTGTTGCTTGGCAAAGAATGTATACATACAACCATCATTTTACACATTGTGCTATTTAACAATTTAAACTATGGTTCATGCGTGTATCTTCTCTAAGTATACATGTCTAAAGACTGTGAACTTGTTAAACAGCATATAAAAGCCCTTAATTTGAACTCATCTTTCAGATGAACGAGAGGATGTACAGAAGAAAACCTTCTCCAAATGGCTTAATTCCCAGTTATCAAAAGTGAGTAAATGACTGTTGTTTGTATTCATAAAGATAAAGTAGTTAAACAACAATGAATTATGTTTTTTAAAATCAACACTGTTAGATAGAAAGATATATTGTACACTATGACAGTGTGTGTTGTTATTGAAGTTTGTGGTGCCATCTATCTTCTTTTTTTCTTTTTTTTGAGAAAATAGTTTTTCATATACTTATCTATTGTCTTGTAATATCTTGTTAAAGGGTAACTAACTTCTCTATTTTGAAGTTTTTGCTTAACCCTTTAAGGACAGGCATCATGATGCTATGCTCCTGCACAGGCAGCAAGAAGAAGGGAAAATAGCTGATTTGTATAGCTACATTTATTTACAATCTCAGCATTTTTACAGAGAAAAAACATTAAAATAACAAATTTTATTACTACTATAAACTAATAAATAAAATTCTAACCAAGTTTTCTAAAAAGTTTTTCGTGTATGATAAATTCTAAAGCAGCTACTTACACGTAGACCAACTTGCATTTTGGACACCATGTTGTTACATAGATAGCCTTTTTTTTCTCTCTTGTTAGTATTAGAACATACAAAACATCTGCATTGGGCCTTTTTTTTTTAGTTCCTGTTGAAGGTACATGGTCAGGATAGGGTCTTTCCATAAAATTTACAGCACTCAGGCTATCAAAGTTACCATTCGCTGTTCTACTAGGCCTAACACTAGTTAAGGTACCATATTTTTCAAGAAGTTGCCTTATAAACTCCCTAGTGAAATCTTTGAATTTCAAATGGAAATCTCCCATTTTGATTAGGTGCATCAGATGGAAAAAAAAAAAGCTTGTACCACTTTACAGATTTTCGAACACATTCTATAGTGGCCAATTGCATGTCAGCTTTATCAATAAGCTGCATATTCTGAGTGTAGTCAATTACACAATCAGGCTTTTTGACAATTCCATTTGTTTTATGATTTACCTTTTCACTGTTAACCATTAGTCCTTTATGAAAAGTGGTAAGCATTATCACATTACGTTTATCATGCCAACTTATAGCCAATAAATTACCACTTTTCTTCCTTTCACATTCACCAGATTTCAGCTTAGCAAACTTAGGAACATTCTTCCTGTTCTCTCTTATGGTTCCACAAGTGCAAATATTATGTGAATCCAAATATAAAGATACACCAGGACTAGAGTACCAATTATTAATGTACAACAGGTGGCTTTTCCCTTCATATTTCTGCATCAATTTCTTCACAATGGCACCTGAAGTCCCATGAGAATCTTTTTTAGCAACATCAATATCAGTACCTGTACAAACAACAAAACCCAAAATAATTCCTGTTTCACAATCACAGAGAACTTGGATTTGTATTCCAAATCTATGATGCTTTTAAGGTATGTATTGCTTAAATATCAATCTCCCCTTGAAAATAATATTAGGGATTCATCAATTAAAATTTTTTGGAATGGGCAGAAAAAAAAGCAAAAACTTTTCCTTTAGAATAGTAATCACTTCCCTTATCTTCAACAATCTATGACTTTCATCAAGAAGCTCATTATCAGCAAAATAAATGTACCTAAG